TCCCGGCGTTGGCGGGCCGGAGGGATGCTGGCGGCTCCGTCTCTCCCTCTCTCCCCCCTCTCCCGGTCTCTCCCTCTCTCTGTGGTCACATCCGGAAGTTCCACATCGGAGATGCTTAACCCACTGTCCGCCGGCGGCTCGGCTGCGGGCCGGGCCGGGCGGGGCGGGGCGGGAGCGTCCGGAGCTCCCTCCCCTCCCCTCCCTCTCCCCGCTCCCGGGGGCTGCGGCCGCTCTCGGGGGCGGCTTTTGTATCGGTGTCTCCCCGCCGCTCGTCTTCCTCGGTCCCCACCCCTCCTGCCTCCCTCTCTCCACGTCGCTCGCTCTCCTCGCCACCGCTCTCGGGTCTTCTCCGCCTCTCCCCCTCCCGGCCGCCCCAGGTCCCTGTCTCTTTCTCCCCCTTTCCTCCTCCCTTCCGCCCTTCCCCGCGTCTCTCTCTCTCCATCTCCCTGCTGCCCTCTTTTCTTTAGGTCTTCAAGTCTCTCTCGCTCTCCGTTTCTTTCTCTTTGTCTCTCAGTCTCTATCTCTGCGGTTCTCTCTAATTCCCCTGTCTCTCCCATCTCTGCTTCTCTCCTGGCCCCCCGGCTTCCACAAGCCCTCTTATCAGCCCCTTTCCCCCTCCCCTTCCCCCCTCTCTCAGACAGATCTGGAAGTAACCAAAACCTTTATCGTAGTTTCTCTTCTTGCTCCAGCCCCACTAACTTCCCTCCCCCGGGAGACAAGGATGCTTGTGAGCCTGTGCCTAAAGTCATCTGTGTGTGTGTGTCCCCAGCTGTGCCTGTCTGTGTGTCTGGTTGTTGGATTATGCCCAGTATGGGGGTGTTGTTTCTGCCTCTGTATATGGTGAGTACTGGGTGTGTAAGTGTGTGTGAGCGCGCGCGTGCGCACGCGTAGGCGCCCATGTCCAAATTTCTATATATAAATTGGACATCGGAGTGTCAGCACCGGTGTGTGTGTGTGTGTACGCGTGCACGTGCTCCTGGAGGTATCACTCTACCCCCTGCCCATTTTTGACCTTTGCCTTTTGGACGTTTCTTAGCCTGAATTCCCCTCAACTGCTCTCCAAGTGTTTGGTGTGGAATCTCCCAAATTGAGGGTAAACAATGATGCGCCTGGTTACGTCTCTGCTGGAGAGCAGGTCCACAGCTGATTCCTGGAGGAGCCTGGAACCCAGGCAGCCTTGGAAACCAGGGTTCTAATGAGGTAGATATTTCTGCAACAAAATTTATTGAGCGCCTACTGTGTGCCGGCTGGTGTTCCAGAGATAGAGCAGGGAACAAAAGAACCTTTCCTGGCCTCCTGGTGCTTACATGCTATCCAGTATGGTGTGGGGAGAGAGAATAGTCTAGGAAATAAATGTGTAAGTATAAAATAATGACTGAAGGGGATGAGTGCTCTGAAACAAAGCAGAATAAGGACGGGGGGTGGGGGATGATAAAAACTGGACAGGGCAAGTCCTCAGAGGAGGTGACAGCTGAGCAGAGATCTGAAGAAGGGGCGGGAGGGAGCCATGGGGAAGTCTGGGGGAAGATCATTCCTGGCAGAGGAACAACAGGTGCAAAGACCCTGGGGCAGGAATGTGTCTGAGGAACAGCAAGGAGGCCAGTGAGGGCAGAAGAAGGCCAAGGAGAGAAGAGAAAGACCCCCGGGATTCATCTCTCACTGCCTTTTTCTACAGCAGGGTTTTTACCCTGTGGTGGCTCTGGGATATCACCTCAAAGTGGGTGTCAGGAAGCCTGTGAGCTCCAAGTTGCCTGGCAAATTATGGGCTTGGTCCTTATGTGTTCTTTTTTTTTTTCAATTTATGGGGGAGAGGAGGGAGGTAATTAGGTTTATTTATTTATCTATTTTTGAGAGGAGGTTCTGGGGATTGAACCCAGGACCTTGTGCATGGCAAGCATGTGCTCTACCGCTTAAGCTATACCCACCCCCGGTCCTTATGTGTTCTTATAGGGAGATGGCCGATAGTTTTCATCTGATTGTCGAAAGGGATAGTTGACCCACTCAAAGTTACCAACCATCACCCCAGAGAGAAATGAGACAGAGATCCAGAGAGAAAGGGACAGAAGTTGGAGGAAGGGGACAAAGACCCAGGGAAAGGAGGGAAAGAGATGGGGGACAGACAGAACCCGGAGAGAGGGGGGGCACCTGAAAGGGCCAGCTGGAGGCAGCATACCCACCCCTGCTGGGCTTGCTAAGGATATTTTCTGACCCTCATAAACAGCTTTCCCTCTGCCGCACCCTACTTCTCTGACCTCCTCCCATCTTGTGGAAATTAAACAGAACCACCCAGGCCCCCCGGGGCAGCGGGGAGAGAGCTGGAGCAGATACAGCAGGAGGGCTTGGGGTTAGGACAGCAGCAGCACTGCCCAGGGGGCGGGGGCCAGTGGAGGGCTGTGAAGGAGGACGAGGATGATGGCCCTGGTCCCGCTCAAGCCCCCGGAAGTTCCCTCCTTATCCACCCAGGGCTCAGCTTCCTCTCCAGCCCTGCCCCTTGGATCTGTCTCTCCCTGGATCTCTCTCTCCCCCGAACTTACTCTCTCTGTCTCATCCAGGATCTCTGTCTCTGAATCTCTCTCTTCATCCCTGACTTTGGTCCTCTGACCCTCCCTCACCACACCACCAACTCACCTCCCTGGCTGACTCTAGATCTCTGGGAATCTGGGGTCCAGATCCACCTCAGACCATTTTTTCCCTCTCTGGGCCTCAATCTCCCTATCAGCTGGGTGAGCAGGGGGTTTGAGGAGTGGGGAGTGATAGCGAATGGTCAGACTGGAGGGTTCCAGGATGCCGGGGGCCTTGGCTGAGTCCAGGGAAGCCAGTGGGTGCTTCCCCTTAAACCGTCCCTCGGGCGACGCTGGCCCTTTAAGGAAGGCAGAGGGGAAGGGGAGAGACTTTAATCACTGCCACACACACCCCGCCCCCCCATATAGGGGTTTTGGAGCAGAAAATTAATTTAAATCACTTTTTAATTAAAGATGCAAAGCTCTTCTGTGAGAGCCTCCTCTCCCCTCCCCCTACCGCCCTCTCAGCAGAGGCTCCAGGCTGGGGAGCCAGGGGTCTGGGCCCTCACCCTTGCTTTGGGTCTTTGGGGGTGTGCTGAGTTCCCCTCACCTAGGCTGATTCTGCAAACAAGAAGGGTGACCCGATCTGACTGTCCCGGTGGGGGGGTGGACGGAGGGAAGGAGGTGGCTGTGTCTGAAATGGATGGGGGTCTCAGGGAGGCCAAAGTGGGGGTGTGTCTCAGAAAAAGGCAAAAACAGAGCGGCAGAAAGAGAGCAAGAAGGAAAGGGGGCCAGATTGGGTTCCAGAACAAGACAGACAGGGGAGGGTGTAGGGGAGAGAGGAAAGAGGGAGGGAGAGTTGAGACAGACAAGAACAGAGAAGACAGGAGACAGAAATCAGAGTTACTTCTTCCTTTGCTCTGAGCTCAGAAGGACCCTCTAGCCCTGCAAACAAGGAGGAGGGGCTTGGACTCTCGGGCATAAATCTTTTTAATTAAAGAGATGAGCGAGATTTTGGCAAGGGGAAAACAGGGGTGTCTGGGAAAGAAACTGATGGGGAAGGCGGGAAGCTGTAGGGAGGAGGAAGGGGGAGACTGGCTTTCTCAATCCCCGCTGCCCCTAGTCTGTCTGTCTGTCTGTCTGTCTGTCACACACCACATACACACGCTGCCCCATCTCTGACCTCAGGCCTCCTCTGCAGAGCTGTCTCCCTTACATGGGCCTGGCTCCTGGCTGGTGGGCTCCCCATACATGCTGGTCCAGCTGTGGCTGCAACTGTGAGGTAATGCTGGGCCCTTACACGTGGGTGTCTGGAAGCATCTTGACTGCCCGTGTGCATTTCTGTGAGTGTGTGTGCGCGCATGCGCGCACACCTCAGTCGGGGCACAGACTCCCATGTGAGCACCAGCCCTAGGAGAGGTCTCACCCCCTAGCTCCACCCTGTCCCCATTTTCCAGATGGGAAGGGCCCAGGCCTGGGCTAGGCCCACCCTGTCGAGCCATCCATCAGTAGATCTGGCGGAACTCCGGGGGTCTCCCCAGTGGTTTTCCCTAGTTCAGCAGCCAACCTCTCAGTGGTTGGGCCAGACGGTCTCGCTCACTTCCGACCCCCCCCACCCCCGCCCCGACCTGAGCACTGGCCCCCGGGGCTGTGCCCACCAGGCAGCAGTCATCCCCAGGGACTCCCAGCGATCCCCAGGGTCGGCTCTCAGGGGCTGCGGGAGTCCAGGGAGTGAGCAAGGACCAGCTCAGGGCCACCCTGGTCCTCTCTCTGGGTCCTGCCAGCTCTCTGCCTCAGTTTCCGCTTTTATCAAAAGATGCGCCTCTCCTCCCTTGCTCCTAGTCTCTCCCCGGGGGTCTGTATCTCTGCTCAGGAGTGGCAGGGGAGAAGGGGTCCTACATAAGGGGCCCTCTGTGTCTTCGGTGTGTGTCTGTCTTTCCGTCTGTCTTCCTCATGTTTCTCTCCCTCCATCTTTTCCTCCCTCTCTGTGCGTCTCTCTTTCGCTGGACACTTACTTTGTGTCTCTGTCTCCATTTCTCTCTCATTTCACTCTCTGCTCTCAGTCTCTCCCTCCCTCTCCTGCCCCCACCCCCTCTCTGGGGACCTCTGTCTTTGTGTCCTCACCTCTCTCTATCCCTCTGCATCTCTCTGTCTCT